TGTTTTGTGGTTGATCCAACGGTTCGTATCGATCCACCCGTCTGCTAAAACTTAACGGGGTGTTTCGTACCAGACTTGTCATAGCTAGCGCTCTGATTCCACGTTTGCTCTGCTTTTTAAACTTTGGAAAATATTTGGTATATGGAGAGATTTTGGTGGTAGAGTATAGTTTTAGCTATGAATATATTTATATAAATCAATTGGTCTTTGATGGATTGTGTATTTATTTAGTTAAATTATTGATGATATTTTAAATGTGTTTATTTGACTCTACTTGCCAATTTTTTAGTCTAGGTAGGCGGCTTGGTTGTTTGGAAAAATTAAATGATTTTAGTATAAGAAAATGACAAAAATGATACATTAGTTTTAAAAGTAGGTTCAAAATAGCCCATATAAGTATCACTTGAATAAATTTTGGCCCTTTAAATTTACAAAATAATGAGTAGTTTTGATCTTCTAAAAAATATTTATCACACTTTAATTGTTATTCCATCCTTATTAATATGATATAATCTAAATTACAAAAGTCAAAATTCTTGACTGTCTATTTGAACATATGATTTTTAGCATCTTCGATAAACTTAAAAGATTAAAATTATTTTTAAAAAAATTAACATACACTCAAACATGATGGATCATTTTTGTTATTATTTCGATATAGTATTGCAAATATTAAAATTGGTAGTCAAAGTCAAGAAGGTCATATTCAAAACATTTATTGGATTAGTTAGAATTTAAGAAAAATGTAATTAATGTCAATTGTTTTCACTTCATATAAGTCAATATAAAGAATGGGCACTAAGTAATACTTAATAAATAAGAAAAGAAATAAAAAAGAAACTTCTTTCAAGCACAAAATATTTGACTACATATGGTCATCTTGAAATCAAATGTTACTTTGGGGAATGTGTTTGTTAAAAAGAAATATTAGTAGAAACAATTGATGGTCGTTGGTCGAATTTAATTAAAAATTTATTCGTAATGAGTAATTTTGATAGAAATTGAATAATTTTGATTAATTTGGACGAAATTGTAAACCAAGGGATATAGTTGTTAAGTATTATAACAACAAGATAATAGTCTGACAACATATGATTTTTTTTCTTGTTTATAATGTTCATCGGCTGTTTTCGTATATATTTTGATTAAATCAATAAAAAAAATTATAAAATTTCGTAAAATTTTAATAAGAATATAATTATCAGCTACCGTGTTAAAAAGTGTTTTGGTCCTAGTCATGTATGTCATCAATATTTATTTATCCTAAGAATCATCGATAGGGTCGCTATTTAACTAAATCTCGTTGACATTCCATAAGTGAAGAAACAAGACTATACTATATTCTAAAATATATTAATATATTGTAAAATGAAGCAATTTATTTAACTAAAACATTTAATATATCTAGAAGTTGAGCTAATGGATGTAATTAATTAAATCCTAAAACATTGAATTTATGTTTTTAAAAATGACCGTCGGACAACATTGGATCCAAAGTATTATTTTTATGAGAAAATCGTATAAAATAGCAAATTAATAACCTAAATTAAATAGAATAGCTAGGGTTTGATTTAATTGTGCTCCATAAGAAACATTATCTAAAAATTGCCAGCGTCTCTCTCCCAGGAATCTCGCTCGCCACTCTCCATTCTCGCTCGCCTCTCTCGCTTTATACACAGAAGTGTATAATTCTGTTTCTGTGTTGTATAAAGCGAGAGAAAATTGTATATACACATGCAAAAATGTATATCTTCGTGTTATACACTTAATTATACAATTTACAAACATTTTACTTCAAAAATTGCAGAGAAAAAGGCCAACGAATTATACAATTGCGAATTATACAATTGTAGTGAAATACAATTTTCTCTAGCTTTATACAACAAAAGTCTATATATTGTGTTTATGTTTTTGTATAAAGCGAGAAAAACATATATCTTTTTGCTATAAACTTATAATTATGCAATATACATATATTTTAATTCGATTCAACTATATGCAAAGCAAATTATTTAATTGCAACGAAATAGGCCAGCGAATTATACAATTTAGGCCAACGAATTATACACTTGTATATGTATAGAGAATTATACAGTTTTTATGTTTGCTATGGAGCGCAATTATGCAAAGTTTGCTATATTATACAAATATGAATTTTTTGTTTGCTATATGTGAAAGTTGCCCTATTTTTATTCCACTAGATTAATAAAATTTTGCTTAATATACAATATAGTAAGAAAAATAACAGGAAAAATGCACAAGTACATCCTCAATATATGCTCGAAATTTCAGAGACACTACTATACAAAGGTCCTATGATCCCCTGAGCTTATTTTGTAAATAATTTTCTATTTTTTTTTGCCAACGTGACACTATCTTGTAGGTCCAGCGCGTGTTGACATTTTTTTTCAAGCGAATGCCACATAGGCCGAAAAGGGGTAGAAAATTAGTTATAAAATATGTTCAGGGAGTAATCGGACCTTAGTATAGTATAAGTGTCTCTGAAATTTCGGACGAGGGTACTTATGAATTATCCCAAAATAATATATAAACTAAATCATAGCATAGTTTTGGAAGAATTTAAGCACGTGTTTTAATATTTTTGAAAGTGAATAATAAGTGTATACACTGAACATCAACCAAATATTACGGCCCATTATATATAGATTGGGCTTCTCCATCACCATGAAGCCCAATATGAAATTAAAAAGAAAAGAAAAGAAAAAAACAATATCTAATTAGATTGAATTTTGTGGTGTTGTTAAAAGAGAATTTTTTGTTAATAACGTTATTTGCATCTATATTTATGAAAAAAAATAATGAGATTTTATTTCATTATAAAATTGTAAAAGTATTTTGACTTTGAAAATTTAGCAAAATATATTATATTCATGTATACATGATAATAGTGAAATACATTCGCGCAAGTAATAAGTGTACTCACACGCATACAATATACAAAATGCATCATATATATGCTAGTAACAATAGTGAAATACATTTTATATGTGCACTTAGTAAGTGTAAGTAGCTTCTCATATAAAACATATTTGTTTAATCATATCCATTCAGATAATAAATATATTCGTATAATTTATATCTTTTACATGCTTTTTAAAAAAAATCATAAACAAGAGGAAAAATTAAAATAATTTACCATTTATCTACTACTCTGAAACAAACTTTTTAAAACTTATTAACTTATTTGAACTCTCAAAACAATTAAAAGTGAATAGAAGATAGTAATATTTTTTTTCTAAAACATCAAGTAAATATTTATATATAATCAAGTGAACAACATATATAAAACGATATATATATATATATATATATATATATATATATATATATATATATATA